GTTTTTATTTGAAAGAGTGTGTGAAGCTGCAGTGCCTATAAGAGCCCATTCTTTTAATTAAACTTTGGTTGTATTATATATGCAAACATTTATATAATTAGAGCGTCATTTTTACAGAGATTTTTTTAGTCATTGCACTTTCGATCCCTTTTTTCCCTTACAAAGTACGAGTTTAGAAAAAAGGGCTCCCATAGGTACTGCATTCTGACAGGCTCTGTCAAACAAAAGAAAAATATTCAATATATAGACGGAATACTATAGAGAATTTTTGGAGACGAAATTAGCTATTTCTTGACCCTTGTTTGGCGAATATCTCTCTCAAACATCATGGTACACGGCTGAAAATTTTTATCATAGCCTCATCACTTCAGCCGCAACAAATTCTGAAAACTTTATGCTATTCGAACATTCTTGGCCTGAGATCGATTTTTGAAGGAAGGGAGGGCGCCTAATTTCCTGTCTGACATTCAAAATATCTCTACACCCGGAAAAAAATAGTTTGCGCCTGTATTTTAAATACATTGTCATTATAATAACATATTTCTTTTAAACCAATTACATATTCTGAAAGCCCGTTGAGTTTTCTATAATCCTGTATATTTATGTTGTAGTTTGTACTTGGTCACTAGAAAAATAAATCGAGTACAATGAAGGTACCCCAAGGGGGAAGCAACTGACTTTTATAACTTTCTTGAATTCAAAGTCATCAAAATCATTTAGTTCATTTAGATCATTTAGATCGCGAAACTCATGAAAGAGTCAGAACATTTAAAAGAATACATTGATTAGTATTCATTTCAAATCGATTTAAATATCAACATACCCTGTCACGTTTCGAAGATAGTAACAAAAACAATAATCTCACATAGGTACATATAGGATATCACTAAGTTTTGATGATGTAAAACGAAAAGATTCAAAATACTCGAAGATAATTTATAAAGATTTTTTAGCATGTGATAGACTATAGGAAGAACTAGTCTGAAGACTGGATAACCGTTACATATTATTTGCTTGCATCAAAACAGGCAGCAGCAAATAACTCACTCCTTTTTTTTGGAATCCCATTGAATACGATTATCAGAAATATGTTACTTCATAGTCTGCTATGACGTAAGCAAGAAAAAAAATGCACGACGTGGCCGGAAGAAAATTACAAGAACATCATGTCTACTGATTTCTTTTTTCTGTCAATTTTTCTTCCCCATGTGATCTCAACGATTACCACTAGTATAAAATGTTCATAATTTCATTTGTTTACATTCAAATCATTTCTTCAATTATGTCTTGTTCATAAAAAATATTTGTAGATACCTCAATACTTCCTTAAAGAATGGACGTGATCTAAATCTGTTTGATTTGAAACTCATCGAAGGCACCGACTATTTGCTGACAGTTCCTTCATACAACAGCGATTCTGCTCATATTCGTTGCGGCTGTCGAGCATCAGCTATGCTGCCAAGACAAGGAAACAATTTTTAATTATCGACATTTAAAAACAGGAAAATGCTCTATGCTTCAATCGAAATTCCAACCAATTCCTGTTCATGATAATGATGCACATGATATTATTGATACTATCGAGAAATCATCGTCAGAACAAACAATAATTATAGAAAATACTCAGATATGGGTGTGGGTGTGGGTGTAGATTTTGAAACAGATGAACACACACGTCTTCACACCCACACCCTCACCCACACCCACACCCACACCCTCACCCACACCCACACCCACACCCTCACCCACACCCACACCCACACCCACACCCACACCCCTTCTTTCAAAAAAAGAAACATTTGGTCTATTTAACATATTAGAAAAACATATATTGAAATCTTGATATGATTTTCAAAAATTCGATTTACCTTTTTTTTTATTAGAAAAATTTATCATACATGAAATTTAAATGACTGAGATATTTAATTTGAAGAAATAGTATCTTTCATTAATTAAGCAATATGATTCTAATATTAAATCTAATTTTAGACATAAATTTGACAAAAAAAATGTTATTTTTCCAATACCAAGGCCTGGTTATTATATTTTATTATTTTATTATATAGTTCAATTATCTTCTGGACGATATTATTCACTTTTATTTATATTGCTGTTTCAACTGAATGTCTTATGGATAAAATGAAACATTGTAATTCTAATTCATTTCGAACATCTATTTGTTTCATCGATGTCGTAATGGTCATTTAGGACAACAACAAATCGTTGTTCAAAGTATTGAAGAATTTATTAATAATTTGAATAATCGGTTTTAATTTAATTACATTAAAAAATGGATAAATTGTTCGTTGTTTATATTAGCTGGTGAGCTTTTTATTTATATTATTTTAGTTGAAATATGATTATAAATGTTTGAATTAGGTGGTTCAGTATTAAATTGTCTTTTGATTGATGGTTTTAATAGTTCATTTCAAGATCTTGATTTTTTTTCGTTAGGTGGTCCTTGGATTTCCTTTAGTAAAGCAATAGAACATTTTAAACGAAAAGCACAATCCAGAATCTTAAAAGAGAAAAATATTTATGGAACTTAAATAGAATTTGTGCTTGACATTGGACATAATCATAGTATTCGTATTCAACTTATATTTGGTCGTGAAGGGTGTGGGTGTGGGTGTGGGTGTGGCTGTGGATGTGGCTGTGAATGTGAATGTGGGTTGCATGTTGGGATTAGTTATCTGCATGCCCCCACCGACACCCACTCCCACAGCCCACACCCCACATCCCGCACCCNTTGTAATTTTGCGTTACGCTAAGTACAGAAAAAAAATTTCTCATGATTACTATGAAAAAAAAAATTTCTTTAATTCAGTAACTCTGTAATAGTAAGGTGTTTAGAGCCGAATGATATCTCTAATTGCACAGAACACTTGAGGCTATCATACCTTATGCCCAACTCAAAATCGAGTTTTTGATCAAAAAAGAGGGGGGGGGGTACCCTTAAGGTCTGTCGACTTTGGATTGTTGCTTGCAATCATGGTTTACTGAGCTCTTTTTGTAGTCACAATAATAGACAAAAGAATTGAAGTTTATGCACTTTTTACATGGTAGCGAGACTTTTTGCGACTACTGCATTTAGTCTTTCGCGAGCTTCCTTTTCTTTTAATACGATACAAAGGAAACATTTATGTAGTCCTATCAGTGTTTTCTATTTTTTTCTCGATGTTCATATCAGAAGGTGTCATTTTGTATCTCAATAGTTTCGAGAATGGCAACTCAAAAAATACTTGCTGAAAAGCGTGGGGAAAATATCGAGATCAAACCGACACCGTTGTTTTTTCAATCTTCCCGTGGACATTTTGTCTACTTACGAATAGCACTCAGTAAAGACTAAAATTTGAGGACTTATGCTATATTTAAGTTTCAAGATAATTAAAATAGTGATAGCAACAAAATTTAACCGCTGCTCACTTAGCTTATGGCAAAGACAGATATGAATACAGCTCGGACCATAGATAATGAATCGGAAAGAGAATTAGACTATTGATCGACAGTATTCATCAGAAACATGTTGATATCAGTTAATAGAGTTCTGTTAATAATGAATTTTTGGAATGGATACTTTTCATTTTCATTTTGACTTTGATCAACTAGTTAAGGAAAGCATAACTTTTCCGATTTGCACTGTTGAGGAAATCCTGATTCTAGTAAAACATAAAACTTTTTCGGACAAAAGCACTTCGTGACCAATAATATAAAAGAATTTTCATCTCTTTAAATGAAATATTGATTTTTTCGGTCATTGGCATTCATAGCTTCACACCCTTTTTCGCCAATCAAGTGGACTTTGAATGCAATCTAGTTTATTTCTTATTCGAAAACACTGATAAAAAATCCTATTAGAAATTTATTGTAGCATAATGAAATAAATTATTTATTCTTGCTTGTAACTAAAATAGATTAATTAAATAGCGAACCGTTACATATGATATATGCTTGTTAAGGTCAAAGTCACTATTACGTCATTGTGTTATTACAGGTGGTGGAAGTTTTCTTGTGTGCTTTTTTCCAACATGATTTTTAATGAGTGCCCAAGCAGACAAAACTTTCAAAAAACGCGTTTAAACGCACAATCGGGAACCGCGACTGTGATCCATTCATGCTCATTAAAAAAACGCAAGAAGCGACGTTTTTTCTACAAAATAGTCACTTTTCAAGCGTGAAAACGGCAAAAATATAAAAAACTGAGCATTTAAACATGTCATTTTTTAAATCTAGAAAAAGAGAACGTTTTAACACTAGAAATTTAAGTTTTCCACCGTTTCCACGCTTGAAAAGTGACTATTTTGTAGAAAAAACGTCGTTTCTTGCGTTTTTTTAATGAGCGTGAATGGATCACAGTCGCGGTTCCCGATTGTGCGTTTAAACGCGTTTTTCGAAAGTTTTGTCTGCCTGGGTGTTGACGTCTATTATAGTAGAGTTAGACTACTTCTCGATCAGAAAACATCCTAACCATCTAAAAAATTTCTCTCTGACTACAATGTCACGTATTCTAGTTAGAATTGTCTGTTTTGCGCCATAGAACGTGCATTTAGCATAAGCATTAATTTACAAACCGACGTAGGAACGATAAGGATCTTTTTGTTTAAAATACAAAGAACTCCATCGCATTTTACATTGACATTTTTTCGAAATTTTTATTGAAAGATTTTTATTAAGATCATTCATTGCACATCCACTGTAGGGATTTTTCATAATATGAAAAATTTATTTTATTATATGAATAGTAGACAAAGGGGTGTACTGTCAAAGCACATTTTACATTTGCGTTTTTTATTTTCTTAAACTAATAGAAAAAGAATAGTTTGCGTCAATATGCTTGATTAAATTTCATAATAGCATCTAAATTTTAGACATTTGTTAGGGAAGATAAAGAATAATAAAAGAAACGCAAAACAAGAAAGCACGAGAACTTAATTTCTTAATGATTGCCATTGTTTTTTATTTTTTTATTTATAGAAAAGAAAATACATAAAACATAAGAAATGTTATCATCATCTCAAGCAGATCCATTATTAGTAGCAGTTACAAAAGAACTGATATATTATGGCTATTCATTTATGTTAATTTTTGGTAATATTGGTAATGGTCTCAATGTAGTTCTTTTTCTTCGAAAAAAATTACGAACAACATCCTGCAATAACTGTAAGTAACAGAATCATATTTTTAAAAAGTGAAAGATTATTTCTCTATTTGTTTTAGATTTTTTAGCTTCAGCATTTTCTAATTTGATTGCACTGAATGTTTCCATTGTACCATTACTCTACATGGAAAGCCAACAGATCGAAGAAACACTATTATTTTGCAGACTACAAGGCTATATCATGAATGCTGCCCTTCAAATGTCTCGTTATTTAATTCTCATGGCATCATTTGATCGATTTGCTCTCTGTTCAACAAATGCTTATCTTCGAAAATTTTGTAATGTACATATTGCTCGTCGATATATAATTCCTTCTATTATTCTTATTTGGCTTATTATTTCTCTTCATGTACCGATTTGGATAACTTTTGAAGACAATGTTTGTGGATTCATCGGATTAGTAGCAAAATATGAAATTATTTATAGTATTATTATGATTGGTATAATACCACCTGGTCTCATGTTTCTGTTTTCTTTATTAATATTTCGTAATCTTAAATTACGACAACGTCGTCGACAAATTCATCCATTTATTATTGGAAATTCAATTCCACCGATAAACAGAAATCGATATGCACAAATAAGAGATCAACATGTTTTAGCAATGTTACTCGTACAAGTTTTTGCTTATGTTGTTTCAAGTACTCCATATACAGTATCTATGTTTTATGTTGTTTTAACTACGAATCATGATATCAATACATCACATGAATATGAATCAATTATAACATTCATTGTATATATCACCAATATGCTTCGTTTTATTTGTCCATTTATTTCGTTCTATTTATTTATACTTGTTTCACGATTATATCGAAGAGAAATGGTATTAATAGTATCAAGTGTTTATCGTCAATGCATTTTTTTTTGGAAAAAAACTGAGGATAACATTCATCATCGTCATAATGGAACTTTTACGCGACATGTCAGCCCAATTACAGGTATTAACCATCAGCAATAGCAAAATATACAGCAATTTATTTCTTATTGTTTGACATTATTGCATTTATTGTACGAAGCTTGAAATTCTATCGAATAAAAAAAACTAGCGCTGTAACATATTTTTGTAATAAAATAACGGGTGCCCCATAATAAATGGCCCGTTTTTGTATTGCATCTTTTAATCTCTAAATATGTTTTATTAAAAAATAGAATATACCACTAGATGCAGCGTGAAAAGCTCTACAATCTACAAAGTAAAGCTGATTTGAATCGTAAACTTTTTGTTTTCAAAGCAAGTAAACTTTTGTGCAATCAATTTTTATCGCTGCGAAAAGGCCATTATTTTATTTCTATTTTATCTTTTTCTAGCCTAATACGTTCTCTTCAAAAAAATACAGAATATACTACAAGATGCAGTGTGAATAGCTCTACAATCCACAAAGCAAGGCTGATTTTGATTGTGTAATTTTTGTTTTGAAAAAGGCAAAATTCTTTACGATCAGTTTTCAGCGCTGCCGAAAAATCATTGATTCTCTCTTATTTCATCTGTCTATCTCCTAATATGTTTTCTTAAAAAAAAGTATAATACACCAGAAGATGCAACGTGAAAAGTTGTACAATCATCAAAGTAAAGCTTATTTTGATTGTGTAATTTTCCTGTTCAAAAGAAGCAAAATTCTGTGATACCAATTTCTGCCGCTGTGAAAGAATCGTTTTTTTCTACACCAAGGAGTAATTTCTTTTTTTCTTATTTCATCCTTTTACCGGCTAATATGTTTTACAAAATATACTACAAGACGCAGCGTGAAAAACTCTACAATCAACAAAGTAATATTGATTTTAATTATGTAGTTTTTGTTTTCAAAAGAAGCAAAATTCTGTCAGACCGCTTTTCGCAGCATCGAAAATTGATTTCACAGAATTTCACTCATTTTGAAAACAAAAAGTACACAATTAAAATCAGCGTTACTTTGTAGATTGCAGAGCTTTTCACGCTGCATCTAGTGGTATATTCTATTTTTTAATAAAACATATTTAGAGATTAAAAGATGCAATACAAAAACCGGCCATTTATTATGGGGCACCCGTTAGTAGCAGATTTGTTGCTTTATCAAATAATTTTGAATACATATTTCCAATATGTCAAAACATTTTCTTACATTGTTAAACTTATACCTAACATTTTAACTAAGGAAAATAGTTGCTAATATGCAATGCATTAATGGCAATGTCTGGAAGCAACCAATGATTAAATGATATTAGTATTTTCTGATACGTGGTTTTTAAACAAATTTCTAACTGCAATGTATATAAATGTTCATCGTAATCAGCGGAGTATTAATAGGTTTTAACCGTAGAAGTACTATCTTTATTGTTCAAAAGCTTGTGTGACGTCGAATGCGCATGCCATGAATAGATTTTAATTAGTGAAATTCACCTTTATTATAAGAACTCATCTTTTATAGAGAGCTGTTGTGTCGAGTACGCGATTTACCTTCCGTCGATTTACTTTCCGTTGATTGTTTTCAGATTTAATTGGATTTTTTTCACTGAAAATTTTGATTTTCGCTGCCGAGGATTTACTTTCCGTTGATTAATACGACGAAAAGAAAGAAGTAGATAAGTAGTCATAGAGACTACTTATATATTATGAGAGCAAATTTTCAATAAATTTCCAAAAGGAATGAATATTCATCACTAACGAGGGAAGGTCTCCAAGTGTGAATCACCGTTTCGAATGGGAGATATCCCAGCTTTTAGAGTTCGACAAGCTGATTCTAGTGGCCCAGGACGAGCATTACGACAGTCATAAATGATTGTATACAACCGTATACAGTCGTCGACAATGTCGATTGTCATCGTATTCCATGCAAGCTTTTCCTACCTCCCCCCCCCCCCCCCCCCCAAATCTTCAAAAATAGAAAAACTAATTGTTCGAGTATCCAGTCTGACTGGAGCCCCCAATTCTTTTTTTCTCATGCGGCTTCGATGATATATCATCGTATTGTTTCGATATATCAATAAAGCTGCATGAAAAAAAAGAATTTAGACCTCCAGCCAAATTGAACATTCCATTTAATTAAATTGATACTTACCTATTTCATTTATCCTTTTTAATAATCTAAAAAATAAAAAATCGATTTATTTAATCTAAAAATAAAAATAAAATTCAACAAATAGCAAAGTAATTATTTAATAGAAATATTAGTATTTGATCTAATCTAGTGTATAGTATACTACACTAATTCTCGAGTCAGCATTAAAGAAAAATAAATTGATAAAAAAACGATTTCAGACTCATTCAAAACTGAGGGTTTAATTTCATCTAACTAATTTTCTATTGGATAAGAAATATATCTCTCGCTACTTCATGAATGAATTACTCATTGACAATAATGACTATACTAGCATAGTATTATCTGAACGTCTCTCTATGCCTATAGCTGAATATTAGATGAAATCAAAACATACTGTATAAAACAAGAAGTTTTTGTCTTTCTACTGCTATGAACTGACTACTTTATGTAAGACAAAGCTCATATATATTAAATACAAGATACCTATCTTATGTTAAGAAGTGAGTACTTAATGGGAAAAGAATGCAGATATATATATATATATATATGCATACAAAATAAACAGGGTATATCTTCTACCCTTACAGATATTATTACTGAAGAGTAATATCTGTGTTAACAAATACATACTTGATTGAAGTAAAAACGTAGTGGATAGTTTTAAATAAGAGGTATATTTGTTTTATTCCTATCAGTTGAGTATCAGAAAAAAATCAGCAATACCTAGGATCCAAAAATTGACGATTCAAGAGAATTTAAACAATTCAAGGAATTCAACACATCCATTTAACCTAAAGCATATTGCTTGAAACAATCATGGAATTCAAGTAATTGAACATATCATATAACTTTGAATTATATCCCTTGGAAGTGTCATGGAATTCAAGAAATTCAACACAGCCTATATCGTGTCTTCTCATTTGCGAACATAAAATCAAAATTCAAAATCTGTTAAATTCAATTTCAGTTGTTTTTTAAATTTAATTTTTTCAAATTGAAAATAACCTTGGATCTCAAATTTTCGGTTTTCAAATTTCAAAAAATTACTGGCAACAATTTTAATACGACTTAAACTTTCAGTTATATTTTTAAACTTGCTGAAATTTATAGAGTTCGCTAAAGATTGAGTTTCACTATTTCAATTTAATTAAGCTGTAACTTGTAGAGTGCGCTAAAATGTAGTAGTGCTTTTTTTATTCTTAATTGACTGTTCGACAGACATAATTTTTACTTTGAAAGGCCTCAGCTGTTTTTGATTTTGAACAGGCCATATTATTATGATTATAAAAATGGAATCGAGCATTGAATGGGGACAACTGATTTGGGTACAAAAGCATTTATGCATAAAAATCAAAAATACAAAAATGATGTTCTAAAAAAGAAGGCTTAGAAATATACATGTTGATGAGCGTGTTCTTTTGACGACCACAGCTCGATCCGCCCACATCACATTCGAAACAAATATCGATTATCACAACAAATTATGGTGCAGTCTCCTTAAAAACTCGCTTTGTCTTTAACTAAAATCGTTCTTGGTTCAGCCCAAATCGACGATCCTTGCTCGGGCATTATAAGTGTTAGTTTATCAATAACAAAAGAAAAACAGACCAACTAGTACATTCTATTTTTGACTTCCATTAATATTCTCTGAAGCTAGGTCCAAACGGAAATCTTGATTCAACCAAAACCTAACGTTCTCTACAAATTACAGCAATGGTACTAAATTTAAAAAATTTCTCTGATCAAAAACTTATGTCCTATACAAATTGCAGTAACTATCTGAAGCTTAAACAGCTTATATTTTCAAAAAACTAATGTCCTCTATAAATTGCAGTATGCTTAGTAAAAAAAAATTACTTTTTATTAAAATCTTTAAAAAAAATTTACTTTCAATATTTGTTCGCAGTAATCAAATTTTCAAAAGTTAAATATAAATTTTAATCGCTTTACGAAAAATTAATAAAATTATCAAATTTAATTCAAACGAAATTTTCAAAATTTTAATTAACTTAAAATTTATTTACTTTATGTTCGCGAATGAGAAGTAGCCGTTAATAAGTCCTCCGTATTCTAATTCATTCAAAATACGAAGGCAACATGTAATAATGATTAGAATAATACAATCCATAGATTGCGTACCCGCACCCATATCTGAGTTCCGGTACAAAATTGGTGGGTAAGGATAAATGATTTCTGTTCGAATCGTGTACTGTCTAGTACGAAGAGTTGTATCTTTGCAGTGCTCTAAAAATCATGTGATTGGTAACTATATACTGTCAATGCGAAGTCATGCAGAAAATGTATGCCAATGTTTGTCCAATAAAAGTGAAATGATGCTGCAATAGAGACACAAGGATGTATATCGACTGGTGAACATTTCTACAAATTCATTGGATAATAAGTTATAATCATAATATTGACATTATGATTATAGATAGTTACCATTTTCTACAGAAAACATGGCAGGTATATTCACTCTAACTCTACCTAGAATCACAGTTTCATACCATATCATTAGTAAAATCTTCTGTTCAACAAATATTTCTGACGAGGGAATGTTCCCAAGTGATTAAACGCTTTTGAGCTCATATGTTGCTCATTGGGTAGGGGACCACTAGATTAGAGAAACCTCCAAAGGATTTGAGAACTACTATATTTGTATAAATATGTATATATAAACATATTTATATTTCTTTTTTGTTTTATAATAAGTAATACAAGAAAGGTAAATATATAAATAATAAGTGTATGTAATAAGTTTTTTTTCTTTTTACAATTTTTTGAACAAAACGATAACATAGAAGAAGAAAGAAAAGAAAAATAGGAAGAAATATAATTTAGAAAGAAAAGTATTAATAACGCGAGGCCTTTCGAATTTTTATCTTTGTCAAGCGACTTTAAAATTCCAAAGAATGATTTATTCTAATAAAGGTAGATTCATATTTAATTGTATACTTTTTGATGACTAAATTCATATCCGATTGCAAGCGTTTATGATGATCATATAGGCTCATATTATTATGATGAGGATTTTCTCATATTTAACTGGATATTTGTTTTATAATTTAGTTCATGTTCCAATCCATGTTCACATTTTTTTGGTGATCAAGTTCATATGTTTGTGATGGTTATGTGTTCAAATCTAGATTCGTGATTAGCTGCATATCTTTATGGTGATCAAGTTCATGTTCAAATTGATGCTCAATTTTATGGTGATTACATTCATTTTTTTGATGATTATAAGTTCATATTTGACTGCATACTATTTTGGTGGTTAAGCTCATGTTCAAACTCATATTGATCTTCAGATATTTATAATGATTAAATTCATGTTCATATTTGTGTTGAACTGTAAATATCTATATTCATATTTAACTTCATGCTCAGTCTTTATAGTGATTAAAGTCATGCTCAAACTGATGTTCGATTTTATGGTGATTATGTTCATATTTTTGTGATGGCTGTAAGGTCTTATTTAATTGTACACTGTTTTGATGATTAAGTTTATGTTGAAATTCTTGTTTAAATTCACGTGAATGCATATATTTATGCTGATCAAAGATTGATTTTGATCTTCATATTTAACTTGATCTGGAGTTAATTGCACTTTTCTGTGGTTAATTTTTGCTAGTATTGGTTGTTGGAACTGTAGGAAGTAATTGAGGGAATACATGGTAATAATCGAAAAGAAAAAAAGGTACATATAACAACAATCGAGAGAAAAACAATATACGAAATATATAACAACAATTGAGAGGAAGCTATAGATGAAAAATATAACAATAATCGAGAGAGAGAGAGTAGTTGAAACATATGTGTCAATGGTCAAGAACAAGCGATTGGGAAAATACATAACAACAATCGAGAGAAGCAATCCAGGAAATATATAGCAATGTTCAATCGAAAAATAAGTAGGAATACAGATGTCAGCAATATTGACAATAGAGGCATATATGACTTCAATCAACAGTAAGCAGTAGGCGCAATATGTTACAATAAACAATAGAAAATAATGGGTAACATATATGAAATAATCAGGAACAAGCAATTGGGGTAATACATAACGACAATCAAGAGACTTTAAATTCGAAAAAATTTTTTATCATTGTGGAAAGAGGCTTATATTTTTGGTATAAATCAAAGAATAACAAATAACATCAATATTTGAAATATGCAAATTGATACATCGTCGTAAGAAAAGAAAAGAAAATTTTTTCAAAGCAAGAAAATCAAGAGAAATTAATGTTAGAAATATATGACCATAATCGTTAGAAACCAGCTAAGATAATATATGGTAATACTTGAGGGAGTAAAAGTGAAATTAATGACAACAGTTGAGAGAAAGTAATAGAGAATGACATGACAAAATCGAGAGAAAGCAACACTGAAATACATGGATAACAAATGAGAGAGAGAGAGGGCAATAGTGAAGTATTTGACAACAATCAGTAGCTGGAATATTTAACAATAATCAGTCAATAGGTGAAGAATATCTGACGTAAATCAAGGGAAAACAATTTTTCGTTGGATATATTCTGTTAGTAAATCTTTTTTTTTGTAAACTTTGTTAGTATTATTCATTGATTATTTATTAGTCAATATTTTTTATTTAAATAGCTCTTGTGGGTAATAGTTTTATTGCTTTTTTGTCGGTCTTTTTCTGTATTAAGAGATGTTTTAGACTATCCGTAAGTCTGTTGGCGTAAGTCACGGAAATGTCGTCTAATGGTGTTCCTTCGAATATCTCTTGCCATATCATATAAAAATGCGAACTGAAATTACATAGGGACCGAGTGTACGAGAAATGCACGAACATGTTTTTATTGAAATTTATTTTTCTTTTTTCTTTTTTATTTCACGCGTAGTATAGCACTTTATCTCTTAAGTTTGAATGGTCTTCTCCTAAGAGTACCTCTGATGTTGATTTTCCTGTTAGACCTTGAAAGAAGCGTCCCATTTGCTTATCTATAAATCTCTGCGGATAGTTATTCAGCAGGAGCATGATTTTAATCTTGTTTAGTTCACAACGGAGATCTTCGGAATCGGAACATATACGAGTCGCTCGTAAGGCCGCTGAGTAGGGTATATTCTTAGTTATATGAGTTGGATGTGATGAATGGAACGGAACTATGTATGGCTATGCCGCTAGTTTTCAAAAAACGGTTGTTCGAAAATTGGGGAGTTCGACCGTCACTTTTACATCAAGATATTCCATCATTTTTCCATCTTCCCATGTAATCCCTATGTTGACATCTGTTCTACTGAACTCTGTTAAAGTCCGTTCGATATGCTCTGACGATAATCTGTTGGTGAGAAAAATACCATCCCTAAATTGGAAGTACAATTATCCTTGTTGTTGCTGTTGTTTTCCAAAAGCACTTTCCCATTTTCTTACATAAATATCAGTAAGCACCTGTGTGCATGCTGATTCCATTGTTCCTCCCCTAATTTGCTGATAAAATTTTGGTTCCAGACCCGGAAGTTGAAGAACAAAGTATGCAGTATCTAATACATGTAGAAAGAGAGCTTTTATTGTATTTATTGATAACCCATGGATTTTTTTGTATCTATGTCTGCCTAGGAATTCACATACGGCTAACACTGTCTCTTTTTGAGGAATCATCGTGTACAGATCTGTGACATCAAATATATATATATATATTTGTTTCTGGTGTTGTTTTGAACTCCTTCAAACGCTTGAGAAAAACTATCGAGTTGGAGAGCGAATAAGGAGTATGTCTGCCAAAAAGAGGACGGATACTTTTATCTAAAAAAATGGATAATTTTGCTAACGGAGATTTTATTCCACTCACTATAAGTCTGAGTGGTTCTCCCATTTTGTGATCCTTCGAATTGTAATAAAGATGAGGTAATTCAGATTCAGTAAGAGAAGGTCTTAATTTGTCTAACATACATTGGGGCATCTGTTTCTTAGAGACTAAACAACGTAAAAATTTGTCCGTTTTTTCTATCATGTCTTTCAATGGGGATGCAAATATTTCTTCATATGTATTAGTTTGACCATATAAGCTGCCGATTTTTTTTATATAATTTTCTCGAGTATCTGCATGAAATACTTTGGATTTATCCACATGTCTGAAAATAACTTCTTTTTTAATTTAAATTTTCCAAAAAAATGTCATTGTTGACTCTACAATAGAATATCTTAGCTTCTCTGTTGCTGCAGTTTTTTTAATTTCTTCTTCAATTCGTTCACAAAATGTTTTTACTATGGCTGGTTCTCGTCCTATGGTTTTAGTTTTTCTTCTCCATGCTTCTCAAACTTTTTCTTTCGTTTGTTCTATTTGTTTTGGAAGATGCTTCAAAACTTGTTGTGGTGCTGATGGTACGAATTTTGGTCTTAAATTAGGTACCCTAACTTCTGCGTCTTGCAGAATAAAGACTTTAGTGTTTGCTTGAGATGGAAAACCTATTCTGCTATAATGAGAATATAATTTTCTTTTAGAATGCCCTGTGTGATGATACGATAGGGCGTGTATTAGTTGACGTTCATTGTGCACGCCATTTTTTCTAAAAATTCAGCTTCTTCTTTGTAAATTGAGTATGTCTTGATGGTGGTACATGACACATGACATCATATGATTGACGACAATTATCTGAAAGTTTTTTCATTAGTTCTTCATATTCTTTGTTTGCTTGTTCTAACTCAGCAATTTTAGCTTGTCTCATCGACGTAGTTAAATCTAATTTTGTTTTTCGTAGTATATTTTTCCATTGTTCACGTAGTGAACTCAAATAGTTATCATCTGGCTTTAGTCCTGTTGCATGCAATTGTAGTTTATCGAATACATTTAGAGATGGTGGTGGCATATTTTCTACAAATCTCTTCTCTAATTTATCTAATTGCCATCTAAGATCTAATGTTCTGATCAATTTTTGATGTAAATTCTGTATGTATTGTTGTCCTGATTGTGCTGCTTTTTCTCTCATTTGATCTAATAGAAGATTGTCTAATCTTCTTTGATCACCGTTTTTTTTTATTTTGAAGTGATTTTTAAAGAACTTTCTTTACAAAAGAAACTACTTGTATCCGTAATTGTTCGGGAAATGATAAATGCAACTCTTTTGCCCTCTTATTTTCTAATATTTTATATTTATCTTCGAGAAATTCTTGATGAGCTTTTATTGTTTCGAATGTACATTTTTGTCTCATTTGTTTGAAGTAATATTTCCATTGAATAGGAATGATCTCGAAATTATATGAATTATGTGGTATGATGGTATTCTTTGGTATGACTGATGATGATCTCATCAATGGTGCTAGTGTAGAGCTTCGCATAGGGTATGGGTGTGGGTGCGGATGTAGTTGAATTAAAAACTCATACCCACATCCACACCCTCTCGGCTAGTGGCTTACTACGAAATAAGGATGGGGAGACATTATTAGTAAGATGCGCATTCAGATTCGACAACAGAATGCAATAGTTAATTCAATCAAATTTGGGAGTGCTACTTCAACTCCACTGCGGCGAGTTCTCTTCTCCACCTTCGTTCTCCCTTCTTCACATGACTGGCAGCAATCGACTCTCTCTTCTCGGACTCACATCGTTCAGATTTTAATCATTTCTATTATTCGTCGTTTAAACGAGTCTATAGATGTGCTTACTGGGAAGACCTGTTCTTCTCATCCGTATACGGGGAACGATCTTTCGATGATATATGTTACAGATATTGAACGAAATACTGCAAAGTACTGGCTAAATCACGTGATGGTTATTTGATTATAGAACAGCTTTCTCTTAATGCACATAGGTCTCAATGGTTAGAAGAAAGGTCAAGAGTTCGTGGCGTACGTAGATCTAAAAGATTTGTTCCTCACTTCGATATCTTCGGTTTAGCGACAAGATGGATATCATTATTAGCAATTGTCAAAGCTACTCGTGGTTCATGCATATATAACGGTAATTTTGGTTTGGATTGTTGTTTTATCTGACGTACAAGAACACTTTTGTGTATTTAGAACTTTCTTACGGATACACTAATCTTTTCACATGGTGTTTTGTCCAAGTCAGTTAGAAATTATATCCTAGTGTATGTATGTTAAATTGAGAAACTTGATCTGACAGAAGTGGACACGTGTGACAACTCTTTTGAGACGTATGCAAGTAGTCAGTTTCCTGTATTGGCCATCATTCTTATAATTGTCTTAGGTCCGATGTTGATCATTGCTTGTTGTATCATTTGTTTTATAAACATCAAGAATTCACGTCAAATATCGGGCATGTTAACAGATGTTCATCCTTCTGCAAATAATCAGTCTCGAATATCATTTCGAGGTCAATCGCCACCATCATTCAAGCAAGATTTGCCACCCAGCTATGAGATGGTAGGGACTAATAGTCTGCAAAAGACTAGCATGCAAACAGCTAATGTGCCAGATGTATGATGGGTGTAAAAGAAAAAAAAAAGGTTTGCACTACAATACTGCCAGACTGAGGAGACACCATCTGCATATGCTTTGCTTGTTCTTCAAAGCGCTGAAATTCCTGAATTACATGCCGGTTTCCTTGAAGTTCACACACGAGCAGACTTATCTTTGAGTAATAAGCACACTTTTATTCCTTGAACGAAATACAAACTCAGAACATTCAAATCATAAAAGTCTTAGTTTGCCTGATTTGTTCAATTAGGAGTATTTGTCAAGTAATTGACCATTGTGAACCAGTCAGGAAACTCTTTTGGATGCCTCGCACTCACATAGAATACATGATCAACTCCTTTGAGACCGGCTTCGACTATTTGTGCCTTGACTTGCTGACGAAATTTCTCGCGCTCGTCTTCGTCGACCTGGTCGAACTTGTTCACCACGATGTCGTAATGCAAACTGATAGCATCCAACAATTTCATCATGCTCGTGTTTTCTTTTACTGTTGTCGTGATCAACACCAAACGCCGTGTTAGACCTTTCCAAAAGGCTATATACTCCATACTAAAATACGACAATTCATCGTTTCGACCTGGAATATCCCACACGACAAAGTTCGTGCCTGGATATGCTTTGATTTTCGTCGTCGTCTCGCCTGCACCCGTCTCTGCCACGTTGCCGTTGATAAGCCGGTTGAGCATGGTCGACTTACCCGTTGATGTCAAACCGAAGAGAGCGAAATTGTTTCCGGTCATGGTGTTCGGTTTTGTATTGCGCGCTAACTCAACAAGAGCCGCAGCCGTTGCGTTGTCGTGTGCGACGAGATCCTCAAAAGTCTCAATCTTTTTTTCCTTCATTTTTTCGACCATATCTTCGTATTGTTTGAGCAACTTCGCATTTTGCTCACGATACAAGCGAAGCTCTTCTTGCAACTTCGGATCATGAACCGGTTGAGGGTTGCCTGTTCAAAGAAAATCCTCACTTTAAATTAAGAAGAGTGAACGTGCATGCGACTGATCTTCGAACTGGAGGCTGTTCTCATGAAATTAAGAAGTGATGCCGATGCAGAATCAAATGCTACTGCTATTTTCTAGTGAAACTGAGGCACGTCCCGAACAGATCTCGTCCTACTGTATCACCTGATGTTATCCAATGTTCATTATAACACCATCTCGACCCTGGTGAATTTGAAAAACTAGTCACCGAACGACTTTGTGTTAGTAAATTCGCCTGATGTTCCGTCTCAAAGGTTTCCAGTGCAAGCGCCCTTTCTTTAACGTGATGTTCGACAAGCTTTTCGCTTTGGCTTATTTCTTTGTATCTGTAACGAATAGATTTTAACCAAAATATCAAAAATTAGTTTTGTCGGGATATTTTTGATTACATGCGGTTTATTTAACCCTCTACCCATGATAGGGCCTAAAGGGACATTGTGCTGATTACAAGTAACTTATGAAGAATGAAAAGCAATTAAAGCAAAGCACAAACGTAAAGCATATAAAACTATGAAGAAAGATAACATGAGTCATGTGCGATGGTTTGCAAAGTCGAACCATTTTGGTATGCGAGCAGAATGCATAGACCATCGACGAACAANTGAAATATGTAGTTTTGTAGAGGAGAATTTTCTCTATCAAATGGTATATTGCTTCAAAAGATTGTGAAAATTCAGTATAGAAAAAATGAGGAAATACTGACTTACTAGATTTTTCAAAAAAAAAATATTTTTTTTCAGAATCGATTGAGGGTGCCTTCAGTTTCTATTTCATAACTTTTCAATGGTAAGTTAGAATGAGCTGAAATTTTAGGTTTGTAGGTTTCTCACTTTGCTCTTGCATTTCCAATCATAAAAAATAGGGGTCAAAATTTTTGAGAGTATGACCCTATGGAAGAATGTTCGATTTTCTCATGGACCCTCTCTTAAATAAAACAGACGTTTGACTGAGCCAGAAATTGGGAAAATTATGAATAACTCTCAATCCGACTTATCATCACAAGATGACCTCCGACGACTTTCAATTACATATCTATTTATTTCGATGACAAAGATCTTGCAGTGGAACGTCAATGACAGTTTGGAACATTTACACCGACGATACCGCTGTTCAATGGTGAACCTAGCGTACGAAATACGATTCCACTTGTCGGAAGAACACCGCTTGATTATTTTGAACTATTTGTTGATAAGACTATAATGCAATGTATAGGTGATGAAGCGAATTACTACCATTTACATAATTCAGTAAGCGGATCTCATCATATGTCTAACTGGAAAGACGTAACATCAATGAAAATGTAGATATTCCTTGCAATTACAATGCTTACTAGACTTATTGACAAAAACAGGACTCAAGACTATTGGAGCAGTGATCCATTGCTATCTATATTCATCTTCGATCAGTATTTTACAAGGAACCTATATCAAGACATTCTGCGCTATATGCACTTTGCAAATAATGAGAACATTTCCGGCCATGATCTTCTCAAGAAAATCAGGCCAATTATAGATGAATTCAAGCGAAAGCTTGCAAACTGTGTCAATTCAACACAAAATCTTTGTATTGATGAAAGTCTCACGTTATGGAAAGGGAGACTTGGATTCAAACAATATATTCCATCCAAGTGTTACCGATTTGGAGTCAAATTATTTGAGCTCGTGGATTGTGAAACTAAATTTATCCTTGACTTTGTTCTTATGCAAATATTTTACTTGCACTCAAATGGCAGGACAGACGAGAAGTTCTAATGCTTTTAACCATCCATTTATCAGCATATTCGAATTCAGGCAAAATAGACGTGTCTTCTCATTTGCGAACATAAAATCGAAATTCAAAATCTGTTAAATTCAATTTCAGTTGCTTTTTTAAATTTAATTTATTCAAATTCAAAATAATCTTAGGTTTCAAATTTAAAAAAAATTACTGACAACAATTTTAATACGACTTAAACTTTCAGTTATGTTTTTAAACTTGCTGAAATTTATAGAGTTCGCTAAAGATTGAGTTTCATTATTTCAATTGAACTAGCTGTAATTTGTAGAGAGCGCTAAACTACAATAGTGCTTCTTTTCTTTTTAATTACTACAATTTATAGAGTTCGCCAGACATAATTGTTACTATGAATGCCATCAGCTGTTTTTTATTTTGAACAGACCATCTAATTATGATTATAAAATGGAATCAAACATTGAATGGAGATAACTGATTGAGGTGCAAAACCATTTATGCATAAAAATCAAAAAGACAAAAATAATGTTCTAAAAAAGACGGCTTCGAAATATAGATGTTGATGAGCGTCTTTTCTTGACGACCACAGCTCGATCCGCCCACACAACATTCTGAACAAAAACATCGATTATCACAACAAATTATGATACAATCTCCTTAAAACTGACTTTTTCTTTAACTAAAATCGTTCTTAGTTCAGCCCTAATCGACGATCCTTGCTCGTGCATTATAAGTGTTAGTTTATCAATAACAAAAGACAAGCAAACCAGCTAGTACATTCTATTTTTGACTTCCATTAAAATTCTTCGCAGCTAGGTCCAAACGAAATTCTTAATTCA